TATTACTCAATTATAAAATACTCCATAGCTCTTTATCTTTCCCTTCCTATTCCCCTTGTCAACGTTCAAAAAAACTATTTAAGAAGTTAAATCAAGAACACTCCCTATTCCTATAGATTGTGGACAATCCCCTCTAAAAAACAGTAATGCAAGGTATTTTTAAACAAAAAGAGGACTCAGGACAAATATCACACTGCCACCTCCTTTCCATGGGTCAAGTTGAGCTAAACAGAGCATATTCTTAGCTCCTTTATTTACACCATGAAAACCCAGCAAGATCAGAGTGCCAGGCTACACAATAGAGGCCACAAACCAATGGACAATTCATGTGCAGATCCACAGAGTATTTAAAAATTGAACCAACTTTCTAAAACTCACAGATTTCACATAAAAATTCATATTTTATGACTTATCTTAGACAATCTGAAGGTCCCACAACCCTAGGCCCATCTTGATAGCAATGCTCAGCTAGAGCTCAGTGGCCCTGCTCTGTTAGATGATGCAGGGGCTCCTGAGTCCCCTACAGCTCCCCACCACTCTCAATTATATCTATGCACTAAGCCAACCACAGCCGAAAATTTTCATTATGCTTATGCTTATGGGGAAATATTTCCCCAAACCCTGTGTCTTTTGATAGATTGAGTGATCAGCCTCAATTCTTCACCTCTCCTTATATCTGCCCCCTGACAATGTTCTCTTCATGAGTAAAGTGTATGTTTCCAATCCTTGACTCAGCCATATGCCTTGCGTTGGCTTAAGGAAGAAATCACAGTGTCAGTTCGAGAGGAGGCCTTATGAAACCTTGACTGTTTTTGTTTATCCTCTTGTGCCCCAGTGACTGTCATCAGAAGAGCTTTCCCTGGGCTGCTGATGCCTCTTCCGCCTGAGCTCAGAATGAACACTTGCAACAGAGTGACCCTAGCCATACCCCAGACGGGTAGTGAGTGGCAGAAGTGTTATCCAAGCCCACCCTAGAGCTGTGGAGCCAGTCAGTCAACCTGAAAATCTGTGAGAATAAAGAGGTGGGGAACCTGCAGCCTTGGGGCCACATGAGGCCTTCTGGATCCTTGAGTGTGGCCTTTTGACTGAATCCAAAGTTTACAGAACAGATCCTTTTAATCAGTGGCATTGCCACTGAGTGCTGGGGTGATTTGTTATGCAGCATTACTATGGCAATTGCTAACTAATATATCTCTACCAAAAATAAAAAATAAAAGGCAAGCTGAAAGAAACAGACATCATCATTCTTCTTACATACAACCTGCTTCTTAATTTAATAGCCTAGACCCTGAAAACATTTGAGTTTGCAATTGCTGTCATAAAACTATAAACTCAAGAAGTAAAGCAGGTCTAACGTGTGAGATGTTTCATGCCATGACTGTACGTCTAGGTTTGACTGAGCTGGCCCAGGTTTTGCCCATTGGCCCTGTATCCTGGTTTGAACAATAAATAACACGTTTACTCAATCTTCATTCAACACTTTCTCTGATTTTCATACCAATTAGTTGAATCTCTTCAAGCTGTCCTTTGAAGCCTGACCCAACAGCTATTATTGTTGCAGGCAGTACTCTATCTGATATTTCTCTGGATGTAACAGCTAATTGGTTGGTTGAAATCATGCAGCCATGGTATCTAATCATTACCAAGCACTTATGTAGAATAAACCAAATTTAGCAGGTGTCAATCCCACAACCACAAACCAACCAACCAACCAACCAACCAACTAACCAACCAATCCCAGCTGACTGACACTTAAAGGGTTGAACAGACTAACAGAAAGGTTTAAAACAACATCAATATTAAAAAATCAAATGCCTCCAGAGAGTGCTATTTTCAAAAAGCAGTAATTCCTACATACATCCAAGCACATCTGCTTAACAATCCAGGAAAGTGGGAGGTTCACTCTCTATTAACCTTAACCAGAGACGTTTTCATCAAAATTAATCGTGATTACTTTTTTATTGCATTTCAAATGCTATCCTTTATTTGGGGTGGTCAAGAATGCAACTCAGCAATTCCAGACCATACTATCTTTTATGAAAAGGTCTATGAGGTAGTTATCAAGGCCCTTATGAAAATATTGCTATACAAAAGTTCATGGGCCAAAACAAGACATTAATTTCCGTAACTGGATGTGTCCTTAGAAAAGAAGAAATCACTATATATAGAAAAGACAAAAACTTTGATGTTCAATGTATATCAGAGTAGAATCATATAAATATCTGTGCATATAATAGACAACTCTTTTTAAAAATGTTTCTTTTACTTTTGCCTTGTTATTATAATAACAGTTAATCATTAACACTTATTTTGAGCATGGTCCGTGCCAGGTAAAATTCTAAATTCTTTGATGCATTGACTCTTTAACCCTCACAACAACTCTGGAGCAGATGTAATTATCATTCCCGTTTTACAGATGAGGAACTGAGACTCAAGGAGGTTACGTAGTCTTCCCATGGACACTCAGTGAATTTTGAAGCTTAGAATGAAACCCAGGCATTCTAGCTCTTGAGTCCCTTACAGAAATATAACAGCAACACTTACCTCACTGAAAACTGCCACCACAATCAACTGGCCTTAATGTTTTGTGCCCTGACTGAACCTTGCTCTATCCAACCTCTGTCCTTTTCTGACAGTTCTGGTACACGGAGGGCCTTCCCTAATACTCTGTCTCTCCCATGTCAAAGTCATTCAGCTCAAATGCCACCAGATCCACCAAGACTCTCTGCCACCCCACAGTGTTCTTGCCTTTCTGATTCTCTAGAACTCTTAGATCTAGGTTTAAGTCTTGGCTCTGCCACTATTGGGCAAGTTATTCTATCTCTCAGAGCCTTTTTCTCATATAGCGAATGGGATAATAATAGTTAACAGACCCCATATGATGGGTGTAGTGGATCTCTATAGTTTTATCTGCTCAAAACCCCTGCCAAGAACAGAACTCATTTCATTCTTGTGGGAAGTCACCTATCCTCACTCTTAGCACATTGGATTTGGGTGAAGCTGGTCCCTTTTCCCTAGGCTCCAAGTAATCATATAACCTAACTGTGGCCTGGCCAATTTATACATTCTGCCCTTGAACTTTTGCTAGAACTACTAAATAAGAGCTATTCTTCTCCCCACCCCCAACCCTGGGGTCTGGCTGCTGGTGGCCATCCACTGTGCACAGGCTGCCTGGGAATCGAGGCCACAAAGAGCAAAGCATCTCTGCAGGAGGCTGGAAACAGATTCCTGATGCCATGGTTGGAATGTCTCAGTCCAGTCAGGTAGGAAGTCCACCCCTGGCCTTTTCAGTTAAGTTAGCCAACTGATTTCCTCTCTTTCTTGGTTCAGATTAAGTATGTTCCTGTCACTTATACTTAAGAGTCCTAACTAACCTAGTTGAGATAAGAGTTAAGTGAAATAACAGCTACTTTAAAGTATATTGCACAAGCCGGGCATGGTGGCACATGCCTGTGGTCCCAGCTATGCTGGAGACTGAGGCAGGAGGAACACTTGAGCCCAGGAGGTCCAGATCAGCCTGGACAATGTAATGAGACCCCCATCTCAACAACAAAAAAAAACATATAGCACAGTGCCCAGCATATTGAAACATTCAATAAATGATACCTACCACTGTCATTGTTCCTCTGCATTAGTTCCTCTTCCTACCTTTCTTGAAGGTAGGGTGACCTAGAGTCAGGTCTACCTCCACCCTCTACTAGGGTATCACTGCATAACTTTTCTGAGACTCTAGTTTCACCATATGTAAAATTACCAACATTGGTATAAGAAATAAATGAGAATCTATGTCTGGCAAGACAGTGAAATTTTCTGCAAATTTTACTTATTATTATCTTAGTCTTTTGGTTCCAATATAACATCTTCTATGACAGATGGGAAAACTTAAGACCCAAAACCCTGGGACATGATTTTCCAAGAGCATTGAGGAAGCTGTGGACTCAATAAGTTACCAGTCCATGCTAAGGTTCCCACACAACTTAACAGGGGACCCAGCCCTAGTATTCTGCTACTCAGTCAATACTGTAAGTCGAGCATCAACATAAGGAGGGCTTGAGTGGTACCAGAAGGCATGTCCGGGACATAGAGAAAAAAAAGAAACTAATATTGACTAAGTAACTCCCATGTGCCATGTCCTATGCAAGGTATTTCCTTATATTTCCTACTCTGGAATAATCATTTATTTCTCTTTTGGCCAATTAAAAAGATGAACTATGAGTACATATTGAAATTATCTAACTTCTTCTATCTCCAAGGAGGAAACCTAATATATAACCGGAGAAAGACACTAATTAATAAGCAAAATGTAACATGAACTCCAGCCAACTTGAACTGCTCTGTTTAAAGGCACCCTGGAATAAATAAAGGAACTTCAAAGCAAATGCCCTGTTCTAGCTTGAATGTTTTATTGAGCATATGGGGAGAGTTCCTTGACCAAAAATAAGGATAGTTAATGAGGAAAAACTGGTGTTTTCAGTCGGTCAGTTGGTTTCTGAGATAGAGCTGTCCATGGAGAGATAGCTATGTTCACAGAGAAGACAGAATAATGATCTGTCTCAGAGCCTCAGATTCTTGAACAAAACAAAATCAGTTTTGTAAACTGTCTGGGATGTATCCTTTTCCAAATACCTTCTGTGATAATACACATACATTTCCCTTCTACTAACCCCAAACCAACTTACATATAAATGGAAAGGGAAGACATTTCTATGTTTTAAGCTTCTTGCCAACTCTATGAATGCAGCCCTTACCTTTGAAAGTGAAATCCAGGAACCAGGAGATTCTGTGCCACATTTCTAGGCTCCACTGTAATCAGCTTTCCTTGGGCATCATATTGAAAATGACATTCGGAAAGACCTATGAGGCTCCCTGGGAGTACATAGTTAGCACTAGACTCAGGCAAGCCCACCATTTCTGCGCATATTTTCCTGCATGAATGACTACCTTCCTGAGATAGTCAGCCTCCAATTATTTATGGATTAAGAGGAAAAGCATGCACTCACCTGCAAATGCTGAGAGTTGTCAGCCATGCTATCTTCTCGCCTGCGGACTTCTTCCAGTAACTGAGCGTTCTTCTTCTTTTCCAACTGTTGATTGTGCTTGAGGTTGGCAACCTTCTTATTCTGATCCTTCATATGCCTGAGAAAAGTCAGCACAACTGGGTTAAATTCAATCACTGGAAGATCATATCTTATAACAATAGACTTCAGAAATACTAAGCACAGAATATCTAGATAAGGGCTCAGGAAATAGTTGACACCCCAGAATATTCCATTCATTCAAACACAAATATTTCCTGAGCACCCACTTAATGCCAGCTGCCAGGATGGCACCAGAGCTGTAGTGGTGGATGAGACAGGTATAGTCTTCACCCTCATGGAGTTTAGAGTCCAGTGGGCAAGATGGACAAGCACCAAGGAGACCCAGCTTAGGCTTCCTCACTTTGAAGGAAACAAATGCTAATACCTCGCCGTGAGAGGTGATGATGCTCACGTGTGAACAGGCGGTGGAGCAGAAGGAGATGACTTCAGACACTGTGGCCAGGAAAGGCCTCCCTAAGGAAGCGAGACTATGGTTGAGAGTACAAAGAGCCAACCAAGAGAAATGCCAGTGGAGGAGCTCCTCAGGTAGAGAAAACACATGCAACTTCCGAGGTAGGAAAGAAGGAACTGGAAAGCGGCAGTGAGGCTGGCCCAGGTGGAGGAGGGAGCAGAGGAGGGGATGGGACTGTACAGGTAAGGGGCCCAGGCATGCAGGGCCGGTGGTCCATCATGGGGCATTTATTTTCTCCTAAGTGGTTGCTGTTCTAATTATTATTATTCTTTGGGATCATGTTCTTATTCTGAGATCATAATCCATTACTTTGATTTTAAAATAACAATTACAAGGCTCCAATCAAATACATTGTCATCACTTAGCTCAAACAGAATTAACAGTTTGGCTAATCATAAAGTTAAACAAAGCTCTGGGGCTTGGAGCAAAAGTTCTTAATGAATCTATAGAATGTCAAAGTGCAAAATCATAAAGTGATCAAGTGAGTAAAAGACTAAGGATAAAGAACGGGTTAGAAAAAAATAAAAAACAGGAGTTACAAGCTTAATGTGGACTATTTCACCAGCAGCGTTTAGCAAAACATTCCACAGATTTAGGCAACCATGTCCACGGCAGCTGTTATAAATCTAATCCAACGCATGAGGAGGTGGGAGGGCAGTACAGAGGGCTAGGAGCAGTGACCAAAGGAGGACAGCTGAGGGACAGAATCATCTGGGGTCCTTTCTAATCCTTCTATCCCGCACCCCTCTCCCCAACATTGCTACATCAGCCCTTACTGAGCCCTGACTCCCAAAACAGGCGTATTGAGAATCACTGCTCTTTTGAAAATATAAACAGAACTAGATAATAAACACAAACATGTCAAATTAAAACATTTTAAAATCAAATGAAAACTGCTCTCCATAAGAAACTCTCATTTCTAGTCCTCATAAAACTGTATACTCCCCTACTCTCTCCCACACCAAGAAAATGAAGTTCAAGAGAATTGTTTATTTAGTCAAATGATATTAGGAATCCTTCTAATAAAAATATTTCATGCCTGTTGCCCCAGCTATTAAGGAGGCTGGGCCATGAGGATCACTTGAACCCAAGAGTTTGAGTCCAGCCTGGTCAAATAATGAGATTCCACTTCTGAAAAAGAAAAATATTCTGAGCACGTCGGCTTCTTATGACTATTTACGGTACCAACTGAAGCAGTGATTTAAATATTCTTGGTGGCACTTATACGAGGATATAGATAAACTAGACTAACCATCTGCTTAGTCATCATTTGGATTGCATAATTTTTATCTGATAATTCCCCATTTTTGCCTGATAGATACATCAACATACACATATGAAACCACCAAGTCAATCCTCCATGCTAATCTACTTTTAGAAAATTATCTTTTGGTTACCATAAAGATGTTAAGAATGACCTCTTGCATTCTAATTGTACGAGTATATAGTATTTCTGAAGCTCATACTAACCTGGGGCAAGCACATTTTCCAATTCCTTAGGAAATAAGGCCAGCACTCAGTAACAGGATGTGATGGAAAGGTCAGTATGATTAGTGTGATTGTTTAATTAGAGGGCATTTTTATAAACAAATACATTTATTACTTGAAAGCATACCATTAAATAAGACCAACTGCTAAATGTTCCCCCTCTCACCAAGTACCACTGATAAATAAAATGTATTATTATTACAAACATCATTTGCATACTGAAAGAACTCCCACAAAGTTCTCGGAGCAGTCTGAACAGACATACCTTACTTTCAAGGATACTTCAGTGTTTTTTCTTTTGGATTGAATGCCAAACCCATGTGTCCAAACCCAGTTAAGCATCAGTTGCTAAGAAAAATGAGGACCTGAAGTTCTGGCACTGTGAGGGAAGCCTGTCTCCAGCCTTCTCCAACCCTTCCTTCAAACACTCCCTTATTTAAGGCACTAGTCGTTGAAACAGAGAAATGGGCTGTGGATGGCACTGCTTAGGGTTTGGTCCAATTAGATTGACTGAGAGCAGGGTGATGAGACTGATCATACTGTCTTTGTACACAAGACCATCAATAGGTACAGATAAAGTATGCACACTCCCCTGTAGTACTGCCACGGTTTTCAAAGATGTTTCTAGCAGTCAAAGCTTTTCTTCTAATAAAAGCTTACAAGAAAGTCAAAGAGGAAAAACAGAATTGCTATGGCAGAGGTAGACAAGAGGCAAAGTGGGGTAGGAAACAGGTGAGCAGAGCCTCAGCTACTAGACAACCCGTCTCTCAGGTGTCCGTCAGGGAAGCCCTAAGGCTACCTGAAGCACAGGGTAAAATGGCAATTTATGAGGGGCAGGTAGAGGAGTCATGAAATTTAAAAACACTAGATCCCTTGGAGAAGAGAAAGTGCCCCCACAGATGCTCAGTGAAAAAATGACCACAGTGATTTTTGCTAGTTAACAACTTCAGCATTTCCAAGAATAAAATCTGTAAGTGACCTACCAGTCTCCACATCTTTCCCGCTCACCTGCAGAAGTATACCCACACTGAATAAACCAGGAGGCTCTCAGTTGTCTCCAGAATCTGGAATACAGGGCCCTTGAGGATACAGATTGCAACATCTCCTTGCTATCCTGCCCCAGAAGAAAGTGTCCCTCTTCTCCAAACTCCCACCCACTTGGCAAATTGGGCAGTTTCATGGCTCTGCCAGATACTGACCTGATCCATGTTCAGGAAAAAAGTTTCTTTGGAGTGAATTTTTTTCTCCAAGAAAACAGTATTAAATATATCCAAGAGGCAAATTTTAAGAAGAAAAAAATTATGAGAGGAAGGGTATTTGGAAAATATGGTGGTAAGGTCAGTTTTCAATGTTCAACTTAAATTGACTAGTTTGTAACAGCTTCAGAAAGTGAGTCACATCACTTTCAAAATTCAGCCATCATTAAGGAATCTGGATTAAATTAAAAATTTCCAGCAGGTGTCAAGGTCAACAATGGCAGCCATATTAAATATGAATGTCAGAGAGAACAGAATCCTGTTTTTATTAGAATAGTCTGTCAAATTAAAACTAGAACATATCCTCAAACTTGCTGGTGAGAACGTGCCAGCCTTTGAGGCCCTCAGAATCACAGGGGAAGGAGCACAGGACAAGAGACACATGTGCTGCTCCAAGGACATGTGTACATTTGCAAAAAAAAAAAAAAGAAAGAGAGAGAAAACCAAAATTTCTCTTCTTTTAAAATCTCAATAGAAATAAAAAGATGCCTTTTTTTTTTTAACCATCTGCTCTCAGACAGAAACTTAAAAGACTGACAATATCCATTGTTGAGAGGATGCAGGGATCCAGTTCTCTCATATATGCTACGGAGAAGTGTAATTAAGAAAAGCATTTTTGGAAATCAACTTGGCAGTTTCCACCAAAGTGCACATATCTTTTGCCCAAGTAAACCCTTCTTCAAGGAAAGTAGTCTACAAAAATGCTTGCACACATGCACAAATACATATGTACAAACATTTTCATTACAACTGTAAAAGTGAAAATTTGAAAATTACCTAACTGCCCACCAGAAGGAAACTGACTGAAGAAATAAAGTATATTCATAGTATAGAATCAGGCTAGCTAAAAAGATTAAGAAAAAATGAAGTATGGATATGGAAAAACCTTCAAGATACATTGTTAATTGAAAAAGAAAGCAGGTAGCAGAATAATATAGTCTAATCTTACTTAAGTTAAAATATGAAAGCCTATTTGGGTGAATATTTACACAAATGCAGGTCAATGGAAACTCCTGGAAACCCAACACCAACACTGGTCTATAAACAATGGTTACCAATAAGGAAAAGACTGGAATTTGGTAAGAAGGAGAATTTCAATTTTTACTGTATGCATTTGTGTGTGTGTGTGTGTGTGTGTGTGTGTAAATAGGGTATAAATACATTTGGATGCATAGATAAGTGCACAAGTCAAAGATTTTTGACCAAGCAAAATATATGGCATTTGTGTGTGTGTGTGTGTGTGTGTGTGTGTGTGTGTGTGTGTGTAAATAGGGTATAAATACATATAGATGCACAAATAAGTGCACAAGTCAAATATTTTTGACCAAGCAAAATATATAGCATTGCCAATGACATGAAAAAAAAGAAAAATATATATATAGAACATTGCCATCATGCAGCCTCATGTCCCTCCCCTGCCCAGAAGTAATCACTATTCTAACTTTTATCTATATGTTTTTGTTTCGCCTGTTCTTGACTTTCATATACATGGAATCATACAGCATATATCCTTTTGTGTCTGACCTCTTTCACTCAGCATAAGGGGATAAGATTCACACATCTTGTGTGTATATCAGTTCATTCCTTTCTATTGCTGGGTAGTATTTCATTATATGAATATATTAATACTACAGTTTGATTAGCTGTTATGTTGTTAATGGATATTTGGGCTGTTTCACTTTTTTTGTGTTGTTACTGTTAAGAATAAAGCTGCAATGAACATTCTCATATGAGCCTTTTTGTGAGCATATGCTTTCATTTCTCTTGGATAGATTAGGCAGATGTATGTCTAACTGCGACTACAAAACGGCACCATCTCATGGAACACCGTTTCTGCCCATA